TGCATTTGTACCGAGCCAGCGACCCGTGTTCCGTTTTCGCGAATATGACGTAGCCATTTTTGATGTCCTCCGGCCACCGTTTGCAGCGAACTGTCATCGCGTTTGGCGGATCACGATTACAGTAATTTGGTGCTTCTCGACTTACTTGGTGTGCATCGTGGAACGTTCGACCAGGATCCGTTGTTGCACGTCGGATAGTCGGCATTTGCCAACTCGTACTTGATGGCGCATTCCACTTTGACGCGTTCACCGTGATAGACGTAATCGTCAGGTCGGTATTTGCTGATGAAGCCGTTGCTGATCCTCGGCACCAAACAAGGCACTAAAATAAAAAATATGCTCTTAGCAGATGTGCAGCTTTTCAAACACTCGCAAATTTCTCAACCATTGTCCTTAGCCGAAAGGCAAATGGATCGAAATAAGAAGAAGCCGCAGAGCTGACAGCTCATCTGGTAACCTGGGCCTCACTGACGTTGCGTGTGAGATCGTCGCACGAGGTCGTGTGAGAAACATACCATTCTCCTGACCATCATGTTCTTGCAGATCATCGTAATCAGCAGCAGAAATCCGACCATTCGATGAATTGAGTACCGGTCACCTGTTGTCGACAATGCCAGGAAAGGGGATTTAAGTCAATCTTCCGCCAGTGGAAACTCAGGGAAGATTTCACTTAACCTTGTATCGTGAGGTAATTCATTAATCCTCAAAGTACATCAACAAAATTAAAGAAAATTTTCGATTAACGCGGACAGTGACATATTCTTGTAGTTTATGTGGGTAACTTCTAGTCTCTCCAAAGCGCCCGTCATTTTATCTCCACCAAGTTTGCACCCCTCCCATCTTCTCTCCCCAATTTTCACGAATTATATCAATAGAGCGCTGACCAAGTACGGACGACATTATAGCTGGGGACGTTCTATTGAATCATCTGCTATTTTAGGACGATCTCATAATGTATCCTTCCTTACACGGCGAACTCCAACGGATTCTTCATCTATTCGTTGTACATGCGATGAAATAAAGAAAAAGAAGTATGTTACCGTTAGAAAGTCTCCCTTACGCTTCCAGGATGGGCGCCATCTGCAGTACCCTTCTTTTCATGAAGATCACGGTAAGTTCATGATTTCTGTTTCGACTTCATGGACGAATAGAGGCTCATTTTAAATCCAGCATCCACCGATACGCTGCAAACACAGGGTGTAGCCCTCACGTCCCCTTTTCCACAGAGTGGCACCAGTTCAAGAAAGTTGAGGGTTTCCTACTCTTGAGAAATCCACTCAATGTTTTCTGCAGGTAAGTGAAGTGCAGCTGCAGCTGAAGAGCAGAGAAGAGTTCAGATGTCTCAAGATAGTGTTCACAAGTAATTGCAAGTAGGAAACGGAAGTATGCGCAAATATCGACGAGAAGAGCGTTGCAATGTCTGTATATGCACTTAATGTACTTATGATTATGAGTGAGATCGACCAAAATAGCTGGATCCCGAATAAGGATCACAAATAACGTTTTCTCCAAAGATTGCCGGTGCGACGAGGCTCGGTAGGGTTCAGTGCATTACAGTTGAAAGTGTACTCGATTATGAGTCGTTCTTTCTCTACATCGAGGGATCACAATTGCTACGGTTTGAGCAGTTAATGAATATGTCACAGGAGAGACTTGCTCAGCACATTCTCTTAGTAAAGCCAACGGAAGATTGCCTCAACATATTGCAGAACAAACGGCTCGATTACATAGAAGGTTTCAGCGCTTTGGAACCCAGCAGACGTTTAGCCTAGTCTGCTTTGCGCCAGATGAGCATCACTGGAAAGACTTTCTGAAGAAGTTGACCGCGATCCAAAAAAATAGCAGGCACTGACCATTAAAAGATGAAGTTTAACGTTGCATATCTTTGGACATTAGTCTTTCACACCGTCCTTAAGTTTCTTGCACAAGCTTCTCATTGCCCCGTATATACAAGTTAAGCAAATAAACCAAAAGCGATTCACTTAAAACCTATGATATCAGCACGGTTCAATGCTGAGCGTTCGGAATTCTCGCCGTTCGTATTAATTAAAGCTAATGTAATATGGTTAGATTTGTTCACATCTTGGTCGCATATTTATGTTCTTCTTAGTATTTACTTTTGTTGATTATTTAGAAAACAAACGAACGGACGCGCATGGCACAAAGAAAGAATAAAACTGGACAGTCAATTATGGAAACTGGATAATGACACCATATTCTAATTTATTACATTGGTTAGTCAGTTATTACATGGGTCAAGACGACGTGCAATCACGAGGGACTCGCATCGGACCACGTTGCCAAACATCTCGTCCATTCTGGCATGACTACAAAAGAATACTGTGCTCTTCCTACTACTCGCAAGTCACTGACTTACTATCCGTTTTTCGGTTCGTTGCGCCGAAGCAACGAGCGGTTAATTCCTTGCTGGAGGAAATTCGCAATTAAGGCAGAGATTGTCCCTCAGCGAATTCAAACCCGGTGCCTTCAGAGTTCAAAGCCGATTTCGTATACACAGTGCCTCGACGTTCCCAGACGCGAAATATGTCATTTGCTGACTGTTTTCCTTGGACCTTCGGTAACGAGCCAAAGTAGTGATTGTTCTTGATAAATTGTGATAACTTCATAGAGTTCGCGGTTTCCCCCATCTCTGACGGGTAAGACATTCCTGATGACAAAGTTTACAGCTAAATGGCAATCATAACGCGTAGACTATCGCGCTCTCCGGACGCAGTGTTGCATATTTATTATTTATTTATTTAATACTTTGGGGAAAGGCCAGAGAGCAACTCGGCCGATATTTTTCTTCCTGGTCTTTCGACAATGAGTTCACGTTCTACAGATTGTGAAACAGATTTTGACCTGTCACTCAAATCAGCAGCACAACATGCCATTCTCAATTCTCGACAAACCCGTATTTTTTGTCCGAAAACTTCTTCACAATTCCTCCGTCGATGCATTGCTGTCACCGGTCTTCACAAGCGCAGTTGACACTATTTTACATGAAAGTTTTTTTTATTATTGGCTCATATTCGTCAATGGACTATTTGCTTTATGCATGGGTAGAAAATCCTACGTAAAACAGATGAAAATGCATTACTAACAGTCATCTAGTTTTGCTTCCAAACCCGGTAACATTATCAGGAAAGAATGATTGAAAGAATCAGTTAAGCACTTTTGTCAAAAGCGAGGTAGTCGACACGTATTTTCACGTTGTCTCTTCGCCATATGTATAATCGCACCATTCCCCTGTTTTTAGATACCCAGGAAACATTTTCAGCGGGCCGTTGTTATGTATTATTTGAGCACCTACAGTACATAGATGGTAGAAGACACTGGAAGACAGAAGTCCAAAATTTTTGAAATGATTAAAGTTGCTTATCACTAACTAATCGAAGATAGGGGAAACAGCGTCCTTTTGACAGAGACTTCAGTTTCATCTTTTACATTGGATGTCCAATTTTGGAGAAAACGACATTATTTGTCAAACAGTAACACCTTCATTCCATAACAACGTTGAAACAATTACTGCCTGGAGATATTTAGCATTATTGATGAATTTTAGTTATAACAACTGCCTCTACCCTACATAAAAGGACTCATTGAAAAAGGCAAAATTTATAACTTCAGGTAAGCGCTATGTTTTTATCACTGCAAAATTTGCCTATAACAGATGCAAGGAAGTGCTCTAATTAAATTTGCACTGTTTTCTTGCCGAATCTATTGTTTTATCTTGCAGAATGAATTTTGTCTCCAAAATTTCTGCAATTAAAATACTTTGGTTCAAGGTCTCAGGGAAGGCCTTTGCGAATACTGTTTGAAGTAAGCCCAAGATCTGATTTATCCGCCTTATCAAAAAGGATGAGGCATATAACTGTATATGTGCAATTCTGAATCCGTTGGTCTGGATGAAAGTTGGACAGACGAGGGAAATAACTCATAAGGAGAGGCACCCCGAATGAACTGCAAGCAATTACGCAGTTACCCGCCAATAAGCGCTCAGAGATTAATGGTAGCCGGGAAAACAGGCCCAGGCTATCGCTTCGGCAAGAAGAACACCAACGACTTGGTAAACGGACCCGGAAGGTCATCAAGAGTTTCGTCGCCATCCATAATGCAAGAACGCAATGGACAGACGCATTTACGGACATCTACATCACGGAAGGGGAAAAGATCATGGCGCGTCATTGCAACATGCGGGACGAGAAGATATACCGAACATTTACGCAATGGAACGAAACGACGGTAACCGAATATTCCTCGAGAATACCTTCGACAACCGAGCTCGAACCTGCGGTGTTGGGTTCATAGTAAATGGAAGAATGCACCATTTTTGCTCAGCTGTGAAATTACATCACCTCGTGTAGCAGTTTCATTTGTACATTAAAAGAGATGGACAAAAGAGAACATTAAAACATTAGAACATTAAAAATAATTCCACCGTACAGTCCAACTCGTCAACACGAAAAGATCGAACAGTTCTACAGACGATTGGAAGGCGCAATGGAGGAGTAGACCACATATACGATTGCCCAGGAGATTTCGGACTAATCGTCGCGGAAGGAACAAACGGCACGGAAGTATTTATCTGCAAATACGGGACAGGCAAAAGAGACGAACATGGAGATCGCTTCGCAACTTTTGGTTAAACGTAACTACCTCCAGGTCAGGAACGGAAAGTTCCAGAAAGTTTCAGACCGGCAGTAGAAATAGAGATGTTGAGACGGAAAGTCTTTGAACCAAATCCACTATAGACTGACTGGAAAAAAATATCCGACGATGGACACGAACAGTACATAGTCGGACCATAGAATTTTACGTTCTACAGTTAAGATCAATTTCAGAAAAGAAGAACGAATCGAAAGAGCCGAAAGACCACTGCTTGTAGAGATCTACGGTTCGATCCGGATATTTCTGCAGTGAAGCTGTCATTAATGAACCTGGAAATGAACATCATCGTGGGCGTAGATGCGGATTATGACAATTTTTCATTGCCATTAAGACTGCTGTTAGAACATCAAGCCGGACAACAAAGCCAACGAGAAACCACAGCATCAGTCCTCCAACAGAGCAGCTAATAGCTAGACGAAGAGTCCAACTGAAGGCTGAAGGAAACTGGCAAGCGTGCACACTGCACTGTGCAAAGAGTTACAGCCAGCATAAGTTGAGGGAAGACTACGAAAGTCACAGGAGAATTCGATTAGGACAGATTGAGAAGCGGAAGAAAATACTGCAAGCGCTTAAACGAGATGTCCGCCTAAACAACGAATTCTGAGTGCGCTGAAAGAGGCGCAAGAACATTATTGACAAACGCGATCTGCACAGAGGTCTAGAACTAACTTATTCTTCCAAAGTAAGCGAAAAT